GATATGTCGTTTGCAAGCCCTATTTGGTGCTGACAGAAAAGGCATGTGAAGTATTTTAATTTTTTTCCTCTTGAACTCGACCTTGGACTCTATTAAACTTGCATTGTAGAAATGTTAACCTTCCCCTAAAACCGCCATACGTAAGCATCGGTGTTTCACAGACACATATCCACACTTTAAATGCCTGTAATTCTAACTGTTATGTAAAAAGTCAAGGTGACACAGCATTAGTAATGTAACTAAAACATATCTTATCAATCTACAATGACCTTTGTTTTATTAATTAAACATTACTTTTCAGATGACCAGTGCGTGGTACATGTGTACCACATGGATGGGAAGGACAACACACAAAAACACACAATGAGTAAATGCATATTTATATATATATATATATATATATATATATATATATATATATATATATATATATATATTAGTGATGGGAATCGGTAAGAATTTCATAATCGATGATTGGGTCACTCTAACTAACTAATTATCGATTAAAATCGGACATGTAAAAAAAAATATCAATTTTAACAAGTAAATCGTAAGAATGGGTAAATGACGACTTTCTGTGGTGATCCAGCTGGTCCTTTGTTCATTTTATAGAACCAAAAGTAAGCCCCAGCCCAGAAACATGCTTTGTTATACGGGTAGAAATACAAGGTTTATTTATCTGCACCTTTAACTTACACAAATAAGTCAAAAGCAGTACTGTGGTTGGAAAATAAGGGTTAAAAACTATAATGCTTGTAAGATAAAATGATAAACCGATTAATCAGAATTTTAAAAATGCAATCGATTGCTTGGATTACGTCAGCAATCAACTGATTTTTGATTATAATCGATGATTGGAACACCACTAATATATATATATATATATATATATATATATATATATATATATATATATATATATATATATATATATATATATATATATATATATATATATATATATATATATATATATATATATATATATATATATTATCTTTTTATTTCATGTATATGTTCAAGTAAAAATAAACACTAGTACAGACTGTGGGGAGCAGTGCTGGATAATGCATTATATTATATGATTGAATAATTTCCATCTCTCTAATTGGCTGGGATCCAACTATGTTAGAAAAATAATACGTTGTATTGACCTGTACGTGACGTTCTAGGTGAATACTAGGCTTTATTTCTTCTATATTGATCTAAAAAGAGATCTGGAATTTGATACAAATTGTTTTAGAAAGCTATTTAAACAATTATGCCTTTTTTTACGTAAACAAAACATAAGTGAAAATTTATTTTCGATTGAGGGGGGTTAGAGGGGGTGCATGGACACCTTCAAACACTTTCACTGAACAACAATTTTCACTTTTTTCGGCTGTCAGTTTTCCCTGATAATATTCCTTCCTTTCAAAATCTATTCTTTAAAAAAAAACTGACATTATATTTTTTCATCACAACTAGATTAAAAAAAACAACAACTTCAAATTGATATGACTGGTAAAGCTTATTTACATTTAAATCCTGCTTCTGCTTTTGTGTTTGGCTAGGACTTAAGGTAGAACCTATGTCGGAGAAGTCTTTGTCACAAGATTTTCAAACTTTTCATAATGATAAATTAGCCCTTGCTTATCAATCAGTTAAAAGCACATGGCATGTTTCCTTGTTATTAAATGTAGTGCAGCCAGTTAAACATAAAATGATAAATACATACTGCGACTTCACAATTTCAGTCATGTTAGGGGTACTTGTCATGCAAAGAAGACAACAAAATCCAAGATTTGCTTCTTTAAACATCATTGTTTTTTTTTTGTTTATTAATTGAACAGTATGAAACAATATTTCCCGAGAATAAATTCTTTTTTATTCAATTGACATAAAAGATAAGTCCACATTTTCAAAACTATAGGCAAATGAACTCCATTTATTTCAGTCAATTTTCCACCCTACATTTGTTAATATATATCAGAAGTCTTTGTCACAATGTTTTCAATCTTTTATATATTAAAGAACATACCCAAATGATTACAAAAAGTGATTAAAATATATACCTTTCCCCTCCAACGAATGAGAGATAGGTTATTTACCGATACTTATATTCTTGACCTTTTTGCACTTACACAGATTTTTCATTAAATGACTGTTCGGGGCTACTTTCAGCTTAAAAATGATTATAGAAAATTGAACTTTTAATTTAAAAGATCATATTTAATAGAGAAATTGTAATAAGACTCCAAGAATATGAATAAGTAACAAATAATTATGAAAAAGAATGCACATCATTTCATAAAAGATATCACAAAATGTACACACAATCTACAACACGTACATCTTTGACTTAGACACATTTCATCAAGATATTACACTATTTACCGGTAGTTGGCAACTGACAATCTTTAAAAAGATTTTTGCATTCCTTCAAAATAGTTACATATCATTTACATTATTACAGTTTGTTGTATACATGGCAATTTCATCACACAATATAGTCTTGGATTTGACAACTTAATTAAGGTCAAGATCTATTAAATGAAAGGTGCCTACAGGTTTCTCTAATTCAACAAATATATTGTCATTAAGCATTATATAAAAAAATATATATAAATTGAATATTAAGAAGATTATTTCGGCATGATTTTAAATTGAATTCTGTGAATTTCAAAATGCAGTTTTTTCTACCATTTCTATACTGAAGCCGAAAAGTACGGGAAATGAGATTGAGTTAATTATGACGTCATAATAGATCTAGCACAGGCTAAACACATTCACTAGTTATGATGTCATGCGACGTAGGTTCTACGTTAATTAAATGGAAACAAGTAATCGATTTTTATCATTTTATCAGTGAATCATAAAATAAAACAATATTGCTGTTTTTCGGTCGATACAATGATTTAGCCATCTTCTAGGTACAAATTCACTCCTCAGATGGCTAAATCATTGTATTGACCAAAAAAAAAGCAATATTTTTTTTTCATATATGAAATTGTTGCTACAAAAAAATTGCCTATATAGCTATACATTTAAAAAAAATATTATTAGATAATCTAAGACTTATCCTTTTGATATTAGATGTGACGTATAAAGGTACTAACTAGTAAATGATGGCAGAGAAGAGAGATTGCGAAGGAACGACAGAAGATGAGGGAGATGTAAGTGTATATTTTTAATGCAATAATGCACAGGAAAAAATGTACAATGTTTTAAGTAACAGCAACATTTTTTTCCTTTTCAACATATGCTAAATTGATTTAACATATTTATGAATCCATTTTAGTTTTATCATGAAACAGAATCCTAACGAATAGAGGTTTAAGATAACTAGCTCACAATATTCTACAAAGTCTCTTCCTAATGAATTGGCATTTCATCAATAGGACATTAAAAGAAAAGGATTGGATACGAACGCCTTTGCTGGAACAAGTAACGACATTTCTGATGATACAATTTGTCAGTATGACAAAGGTGAGAATCAGATTTGAAATAAAAATCAACCTTTTAGCACTGATTTAAAGTTATTTTCATTAAAATCAAAGTTTTGCTTAAAAAGTCATCTAACATTTTTTTCAAATAGGGAAATCAAATTAATGATTGTATTGTTTAATTCAAATCTTAATTTATTTTACTATTTTGTGCTTGATTCTGATATCCGAGATTATTTATTGGGCGATATGTTTCTGACAGATCCGTTATCAGATTTAACAAGGAATCAGCGTGTTGTTCTCTACACCCTGTACATGAGTTATTTGGCGATTTTTGTGAATCTTATATCTATCTGTATTATGATGACGTCACTATGGGAGACATTGATGTCTGGAAGATACTGGAGGAGCTGGAGGACAGGGGACTGGTGGAACGTGACAGAGAAATGTTTAACAGTGACAGAGCTGTGTATCATGTCTCAATAAATAAAGAACATGAGATAAGTCAATCTTTTATAGAGAACTGTCTACTGAGTGACATAGACAGAGACTTCCTTATAGACGTGGCCGAGGTTTTCCCCTTATATACGTGGTATACAACACAGGACCTTATCATTAACCGTGATATTTCAAGTCCACAAGCCAGTAGATCTATAACAGTGATGAGACTGATTATGGAGGGAAGGATGGACGTAGTAGGAGATATTATAGAGTGTACGTATACTTCAGTTATTTATGTAAAGCTAGATGTTATAAAAAGTAATTACTTGTAAATCTGGAACACGTCCTTGTATATATGATAAAATTTGATTATTTTTCAACAGGTCAGCTGATTAGGCATATCGATTTTGATATTTGCATGCAACGAAAATAGTTCAAGGATAAACTGCCTTAAGAGCACTTTATACCAAATACAAAAGACCTATATACCAAAGACCTATATACTAACGTGATAAACAACTTCTTCATTGTCATGTTTATCTATGCAAAGTATCACGCACAACACTACAAATTTTTCAATTTACGATTATTCCCAGTAAACAGGATGTTTTCTAATTATCATCATTTATCCCTTTTATGTATTGAAATTGATTTATCATTCTACCACGGTTATTGAAAACTTGAAAGGAAGCCGCTGGACATTATTCTCCAATAGATCACGAACGTCATCAAAAAATTATCAGATCAGAAACACGTATCAAATCTAAACAATTCAAATGCATGTTTGGCTGTAGAATGAAATACTTGATTAGACCACATCGATGTGTTGTCTTTTGCAGTATAAACACTGTAAATTGCATCAAGTTGCTGATGAATGTCGGTTTTTATAGCAAAGCGGGGCTATTTCACAGACATCCTTACACATTAAACAACGTGATTTTAGCAGTAAAACAAGAACATGATTTTGTTTTTGTATATTCATTTTAACTGATCAATACATATTACGAACACATTTGTAATTAAACAAGACTATTTTTAATGCAACGAAAGCTCAAATCATCTGCATTCCATTTTCTCTGGTGTTAAATAGAACAGCGTAATCAAGACATGGTGACCTAATTCGTTTCTCTATAGAGGAAACAATCGGCCGTATTTATCGCCCTTGGTAGAATAGAAATAAAGTCCTTGTTGTCGTGAATGATGCAGAACAACCACCTCGGTCTCGAAATGTTGTTTGAAATATAAAAGCCAAAGCCTCGGAGGTTATTCTGCAATATTCACGAAAACGCGGACTTTATTTCTTAAATAAATTTTAAAGCAAAACAAGCATTCTGAGAGTATTGCATAAGCAATACATGTCCCCAATCGGGGTCCCCTTTTTCTTCAGGATGTCATATTAAAATTTGCAAAAGTTATGTCAAAGGTAAAACTGAAAGATTTCAAGTTGTAAATGCCTTAAAACTAATCAAATAATCCACGTTAAGACGAAAATTTAACTTATTTCTCCACCGTGACTGTTCTTTCCTCACTTCAGTCGACAATCGGAAGTAAGCGCAGTTCGAACCCGATCTCAATTAAGCGATCATGAAAAATATTCAAAAATGCCATAATACTGTCAAAAATCAATGAAGTGAAGCGAAATTCAAACTTGGTCTGTAACTTGTCAATGTGTAATCCTTGGGACAAGACCTTTCATTGGATATCAAGAATATTGACCCTTTGATCTTGACCTTAGAATTTGACCTACCTTTTACAAACTTTAACATTGGTCATAACTTTTGAACGGTAAGGGCCAGCGGTTTCATATTTCTCATTCGTAATCACTGAGATTTGAGACGAAGCCTTTCTTTAGTACCCAACAACCTTGACCCTTTCACCTTGAAATTTAGTTTGTTCTGTACTATAAAATGTTTACCTTGGTCATAACCCTGGAAGAAGTGTAGCTAGCTTTTATATTTCGCATTTTTTGTGAAAAGGCCTTACTTTGGTACCAACATATTTAATCTGCATTTGAGAAAGCCTAACCTTCGCTATGTTGCCATACGGGGGCATCAGTGTTTCACAAACACATCTTGTTTGTCAAAGAATTGGAATATCACAACTTGGGTCATGATTGAATGAATAACTTTTACAACGTAGTTTTTAGTTTTTTGCACAAAAATAGAATTTAAAGTGAAAATATTTGTATAGATTAATAAGGATGGTTTCAAGAAGGCAGACTTTTAAACATCACAGAAGGCTTACAATTTCTTCATATTCTTAAAATTTATTATTTGCATCATTTTCAAATATATACATTTGTGGTATCTCTCTATTATATAAACATACAGAGAGAAAATATCTTCAATTCTGTATGAAATTTGTCAGAGGTCAGAGGTCAATACGTGACCTAATCACACGGCGCAATAATATCTACCAGTACATAAATTATAAAATGACCTGCTCTACTTGCTTTTCATGTACAAAGATGAACAAAATAAGCAAGTAAAATGATAAATACATTGTAAACAACTATTTCAGATTGTTGGCTATCGATCGATTCAACCTGTGTATATAGAGAAAATTAACACGTTAGGGGCCTAGCTTTGTTTATATTTTTTTTCACTTTTGTCGGCTGCACAGTCTCTAACGTTCATCCTTATTTTTTGGGTAGACCTTTTGTAAAATATTCATGATAAACTAATATTTTATCTTTAAATTCTACTCACGATAAATGTGTTAATCTGTTGGAAAAAATCACTGCAATTATGCCATGAACGGCTGCCAAACACCATGAACACCTCGGTTTTTTCGTAGTTCAATGCAAACATGGTAAAACTGTCGCCAGTGTCTCAGTGTTTATCAGTGTTTTACAATAAATGTGCATTTAGTTACTGAAATCGTAGAATGTTTTTGATGAAATTGCAAATTAACTGGCTCTGACAAGTGTCTCAATCCATCGGATCCACCCATCCCTTTCCAGCGACCGAAATTCCTCCAACTATTTATCATCAAACTTCGGACGTGTTTCTTGTGTCTTTTCAGCATCGATTATCAATTTTCACGAATAAATATATTCCCAGACAACAATATGTTCACTATTACTGATCACAAGTAGCATTTCACGAAATATTCTCTTCCAAATAGATTCCTTAGCCTAATGAATTCGAAGCGTAACCGCCATGCAAGCCGATTTACACCTTGTGTCATTTTTCAAAATCTACGACGGATGGTTAGTGCAATAATTGAATTTGAAAACATTCAATTGTCTGTCTCAAATGTATATATAAGTAATAAATAACAAGTTTATAAACTTCAATGGGAATTGAAGTGGGTCGGTACGTGATCAAATCTTCTGAGAAGGCCTTCGGCCCATGGAAGTTTATAAACTTGTTATTTATTTCTTAATAAAATTAGGCTTAAAATATATACCTACAAGGCATCCGTTTTTTATGCCCCTGTAAACGAAGTTTCGGTGGTATATAGTTTTTGTTCTGTCTGTCGGTCTGTCTTTCTGTCGGTTTCTCTGTTTGTCCGCAAAGACCTTTCTTTGGGTTCAACCAAATTTGACCTTTTGACCTTGACCTTGGAGTTTGACACACTTAAACGCAAAAATTTTGAACTTTTACTTTGGCCATATGTTTTGAACAATTGAAACCAGAACATTTATATTTCACATATGTATTTTTTGTGGTAAGACCTTTCATTGAATTCCAACATCCTTGACCTTTTGACCTTGACCTTGGAAATTTCCGTATCAATGAAGAAACTTTAACCCTGGCTATAACTTTTGAACAATAAGAACTACGGCTTTCATACTTCACATATATCATTTTGAAGAAAAAGATATTTCATTGGATATCAAGAACCTTGACCGTTTGACATTGACCTTGGAGTTTGACCTACTTTAAAAAATACAATATTGACCATAATGTTTTAAGGGTTCGGGCAAGGGCATTCATTCTTCACAAATTTAATCCTTGGGGCAAGTTTTTTCATTTGATATCAAGAACTTTGACGCTTTGACCTTGACCTTGGAGTTTGACTTACTTTTTACAAACTTTAAGCTTGAACATAACTTTTGAAAAGAAGGGGCTAGAGCTTTCATATTTCACATGTGTAAGCCTTGTGACAAGGCCTCTCATCGGATATCAAGAATCTTGATCTTTTGACTTTACCTTAGAGTTTGACCTACTTTTCGTTCCAACTTTTACCTTGGTCATAACTTTTGAACGGTAAGGGCCAGCGCTTTCATACGTCCCATACGTAATTTTTGAGACAAAACCTTTCTTTAAAACACAACAACCTTGACCCTTTGACCTTGAATCGGAGTTTGTCCTATATTATAAAATGTTTACCTTAGTCATAACCCTGGAACAGGTGGACCAAGCATTTTATGTTTCGCATTTTTTGTGAAAGGGCCTTACTTTGGCACCAAAATATTTGATCTGCATTTGAGAAAGCTTAACCTTCGCTATGTTGCCATACGGGGGCATCAGTGTTTCACAAAATATGATACATCTTGTTGTTTGTAACATCTGTCCTTAACATAATCCATGGACCCCCTTCTTCTTCAAACCATGTAAAGATCTTAAATCGGGAATCATGATGCATACATATAGGGAATAAAACTTCATATTCCATAACAGGAAACCGTGCCATACTCTGTAGTATATTAACATACACTGTATCTAGGTTTCAAGTACAAAGTAAGTAGATTCTGCAATTCCTCGGAATTACAGTTGTTGGGAAGGATTATTTCAGTGGATGGTGTCCCAATTATTAGGCCTCTTGTTGGTTTAAAGATACATATTAATTTTCCCCGTATTCCCCTTTTACATGTATCTATTGTTACTAATGAGGAATTGTTACAATCAAAGAAATATGATTATTCATTTTCTGTATCATACAGACACAGATGACATATTATTGCCAGCGGGATACGTAGCCGAATTGGATGGATTTGTCCAATTTTGGGAGAACCATTGTAAGCGGAGAAACATACATCCTACTGATTGGTCTAATGGAGTCCGTGATGAAGAAATGTTGAGATATTTCTCAACATATCTATTTCTTTCTGGATACGAGGAGGGTTAACAAGAATGTTTATTATAATATATATACGAGGAGTTATCAAAAAGTTCGTGGACTGAGGCTATAAAATTATTACTATGTTGTCTATGCTTATAAAATTTATAAGGAAAATATAACAACAAACAATAAAAAAATGTTAAAAATTTTAGCTTGATACCTTCATTATTTCTCAAATAATTATAAAATTAAAACCATATTATATCACCACCCGGCGCCGTTGCCGTTAAGTTTCATTACGTCCGACAACGTCATTTTTATTTAATATCCGCTTCTTCTACCCCGTACACTTATTTTGATGAAATTCCCATGACCTGAGTAGGAACTTCAACCCGTCTGGTTTATATGACTTAACAATGTCATGAACATCGCCTTTCAATGTATACATTACCGGTATTGTAAATTTTTACGTGTGGAGAGATCCTCGCTTGATTGTACCAGCATATTTTGTTTTAATATGGCTAAAAAAACATGATCAACGTCATTATTTGACGTGATTGATGTTTCAACCCTTGACTACAAATAGCATCCCTTCTCTCTCTATATCTATTTTGGCATTAAAAAAAGTAATCTGAATGCATATTATTTCTCCGTAGCCAGTTTATACATTTCCTAGGTGTATAGCAGTTTTTACTGAGACAAAACTTTATAGAATGTTGAAAAACGAAACCCTTATCTTCTTTTGACGTCATTTTCAAGGCAATATTTGTACGGATACTCCATGTATAATTTATGATAAAATTTCACAGAACTTCAAGAATGAGGTAAAAATTTCCTATTTTATCGAATAATAGTGTCACAACACATACCTGAATTAACGGCATTTTTGGATATCAAATGTAGATATCAAAATATTTTTTCTTAGTTACAATAAGGTCGAAAAAAAAAACGTCGTTTTCGCGGTTGCACTGCATTGCCATACCATTGCTTACTAAAACATTACTAATTTATGAAAAAAAATTAGGATTTGTGATTTATTTTTTAGATAGAAAAGATTATGATAACTAGATATTTTAAAATGCATTCATGTACCTAAAGCTATTTTAATTTTATGGCGATAGTCCACGAACTTTTTGATAGCCCCTCGTATATATTAAATTAATAGTTTCTATCTTTCTGATTTGCTGAGATACAACTATGTAGAATAAACACAACGTTATATTCAGCTGAACTTAACATTCGAGGTGAATATAAGGAATTTATCAGGGGCGGATACAGCATTTGTGGTTAGGGGGCGTGGATAACTTTGTTGAGGCAAGAAGTCTGGGGGCCGCTTTAAGGCCCCCAGTGGGTCCAGGGCGAAGCCCTGATGGGGGCCCAGGGGGCGAAGCCCCCGGAAGCTCCTGGGTTTTCGTGTATTTTAGAGTAAAATCAGGTACAATAATAGTGCATATTTTTCAATTATTTTGGTAAAAGTAAATAGCATATAGGTCTAGATATTTGAATAATAAATGTATTGAATGTTTATCAATTCACATTGTATTGTAACATAGCGGTATGCCACTATATAATACAAGATTTACTTACTTATTACTTACTAATAGTGGTATTGGTTGGTAATGTACCAAAGTACGACGTGTTCAATACTAGTAATGTCATACTTTGAATAGTGGGGGTCCAGGGGGTGCAGCCCCCGGAAGCTCCTGGATTTTTGTGTAAGAATAAAGAATAAGACCATACAGAAAAACACTTATTTGGTTAGTTTTGTACCAAAATGAGGTTTAATAGATATTAGTCACATCATACTTTGAAAATTTTAGGGGGGTGGGGGGCGTGAGCCCCCCAGGCCCCCCTTAAATCCGCTAGTATTTATATCTCTACATTGATCTAAGATATGGAAATTCCAAATTGATAGAGAAAGTTTTATGTGGACATAACGTAGAATAAATTAAGTATCTTAATTATTTCAGTTGTCAGTTTTCCCTGATAATCATACTAGATTCGAAATCCAGCCTATAAATGAACCTGAAATATCATTTTTTTTTTCATGGGAACTAAAATAAATTAAAAAAAAAATTAAATTAATGCGACTGGTAATGTTTATTCACATTGTATCTCTGCTTGTGTCTTTGTAATTGGCAAGGACTAGTAGTGAGTTGTATAATTAAATCATTAAGTAATATTGTAAAACAATTATTGAAGTTTTTGAAGTGAATACGATGATTTCACTACCTTTGAAGTACAATATTCACCTCAATGTACATTATACTCGTCAGATGGCTAAAGTATTGGCTTGACCTCCAAAAACAGCTATTGTTGTATAACGATACGTAACATATTATTCAATAAGGATAAATGCTGTTATAGCAAATCTTGCCTGAAAGTATACACTTTAGCCTAAATACTGATGCGTTGAGTGACGACACTGATGAATCTGACTGAAATACTATTGCGAAATTCAACAAAGAATCTGACTGGTGTTTTTTTTTTTTATCGGCCCGCCCTCTTTGTCATGGAATGTTTCCAAAAAAGATAGAACATCTGTAGAAAACGGGCAAACAAGTTGTAGGCCCCTACTTACTGAGCGAAGTATTAAGTGGACCTATGCAAAACTTCATTAAATTATTGTGTGAGTAATGATCTTTAAATAAAATTTGTTCCAGGGCTGGTAGAAAGTGACTTAAAATGACATACACCACACGGGGCATATTTTTGCGATTGAAAAACACGACCCTTTTAATTTTGTTCATTTTTTCTTCAGTACATCAATAAACTTAAGCGTACTTAGATTTGTTAAATATATGTGATATTGATAATTTTATAGTGATTATATAAACAAATATTTTTTTCCTTTTATATTTTACAGTAAAAAGTGCACTGCATTAAAAAAAAACAACAACAGGGATTTCAATTTTTTTTCATCGCATGTTTTGATAAATGCTATGACGACTGTTACAATAGGTATGCAGTAGCAAACACACATTTGAAAGCTGGTTTTGTTTGACAGTATTGATAACAAAACTGTAAACTATTGAATAAATCCGATGTTTAACCACATATGAATTTATATGTTTTAAAAGGTGCTCTGGTATTAGCTGGGTATATATGCTTTCTATGTAAGTAAGCGTTTTCAACACCGAAAATGGAAAATGTCGTGAATAAAAAATCGGCAGATTATAAATTAGTGTGGGTCATCGAACAATATAGATGTGTCTCTGCAAAAAGAATATTAACAAGCTAAAAAGTGATTTTATAATTTGTTTGGTTTTTTGTTCAAAAGGTCACTATTGGTTTTCGACAATCGAAAGGCCGTTGGACGCTTTCCAACTTATAAAGTAAAACATGTCTAATCCGACATGCATTGGGAGACAGATTTTGTGTCGGAATAGACAGTGTGTCGGATTGCACAGTGTTAAAAACAAGGAAAATACTAAAATTGGAAAGAAATGTAACGTCGGAATTAACAGTGTGTCTGATTATTCAGGTGTCGGATTAGACAGTTTTCACTGTATAGGCAAAGGATACTGCACGAGAGGTGGGTCCTAATCATCAAAAACGCTTGCTTTATAAAATGAAACCTTCGATTCAGATTGTTCAATTGTCAAATCCAACGGTGTTATCCCCAAAGGCACGCTATTTTGGCCGCAATGTATATTTTTAAACGAGATTTACGAACAATATAAAGCATTACTATCAAATACAAATATTGTGATACATTTAAACAGTTTTTTGCAAATATTAATGAAATTCATTAATTGTTTTAGCGTTTATTGCATAAATCTACTTTCAGAGTTTCTGAAATTGGCTCTGAACAAGTCAAAATGGAGCATACTTATACTCATATTGATGTCAGAGAAGTACAGTATTTTATATGAAGAGAAGTTGTTGGAGGAAAAAGTCGACAAAATACAACAAACCTTTCTGTCACTGAATGGCTCTGACGATGGAATGTCAAATTATACTTTTCTTATTCAAGATTTGATACACAATGACAAATTACTGACAATGCACAGAGAAAACAAGGCACTAGAGTTTATATCAGAGGATATTCGTCATCAGGTGATGGGGTACTTTGTTCTGAACTGTTTATTATCTGATGAGGATTACAAGAACTACATCCAGCTCTCGTCTTTTGACTCGTTGTTTGATTATGTCCGTACAATGTGGTATAAAAGGGAGAAACAAGAAAAGTATGTGTTTATACCGAGAAGGATGGAGGAGACATTAGTTAGGAGGATTGGAATAGACATCTTAAGACACGCCACACTGGAAGATGACAAGATGAAAGACATTGTGTGTAAAACTTGTAAGATTTTTTTTTTAATAAATTGATCTGTTATATCTTTTTTCCATCTTTTAATGTAGAGTCACTTGAAAAAAAAAAAAAGATTTTATCACTGTAAAAAATAATAATCTAACATTCTGGTATATTTTGATATCTTCTTAATATTAGAATGTCTGTGCTTCGAACCTTCCTTTAACAAAGATAGCAGGAGAGGGGGTGTTCCAATGCAAATAAAAAATATATATTAAATCTGTAACAAACAAAGAAAATCTTTTTTTTTGGCTAAGTGAGTACATCCCCGCTTTCTATGGAACATTTTTAACATTTCTCATTGTCGATTAAGATCCCCGGAAATGGAGGAAAAATATTATCTAATACAAAGATGTACTCCCTTTCCTGATATTTTATGCATATTTCTTACATATTGTACATGTTGAGTTACATATAGTCATTTCCGATGATATGAAAAGTGAATCATTCATGTTCCATGTGTGTCGTTGGAGACCGAGGTCCGTTGCCGAGATTGTGAAGGAACACCTGGGAAAGATTTATGAAAAACTGTCTTTATCTAGCAAAAATGTGTGTTTTGTAAAAAAAAAAATGATTAATTATTGAGGACTTTTTAAATCCAAAGTTAGTCTAGATGTGATGTGAATAATAATACTTGTTAGTTATATGTACTATACATGTAGGTAAAATAATAAAGGTCAATATAAAACAAAAAACAAGAGGCCCATGAGTCACATCGCTCACCTCAGGTCTATGGCTAGGAAAAAACAGAAATTGGTTTATTATTGAAAAATTTAAATCTAAAAGTAGTCCAATGACCAAATGCTTTGCTATTCTTGAGAAGATGATTTTCAAAGAATTTTCTTATGTATTTCTATGTAAAACTTTGGTTGGCCAATTTGGCCCCGCCCTTCCCCCGGGGGTCACGATTTGAACAAACTTGAATCTACACTACCTGAGGATGCTTCCAGATAAATATGATCAATTATGGCTTTGCTATTCTTGAGAAGGTTATTTTTTAAAGAATTTTCCTATATATTTTTTTCAAAAATTTGGTCGGCCATTGTGGCCATGCCCTTCCCCCGGGGGACATGATATGAACACACTTAAATCTACACTACCTGAGGATGTTACCCCATAAGATTCATCTTTCCTGGCACAGTGGTTCTTGAGAAAACGATTTTTTAAACATGCCTTCCAATTTTCATTAATTCCCAATTCATTAATTCAACGAGTTCGTGGCCCTTCATTTGAACTAGCTTGAATTCACTTTACCCAAGGATACGTTGTGGCAAGTTTGGTTGAAATTGGCCCAGCGGTCCTTGAAAAGACGTCAAAAATGTGAAAAGTTTACAGATGTGATACAAAATGTGATCATAAAAGCTCACTTGAGCCTTCAGCTTCATGTTTAGAACTCAAAGTCCGAAGAGGGGAAGAAAAATAAAAAATGCAATAAATGTCTTGATTTCTGTATCTTGCTGTTTAATGAAGTTCATCTGAAACGAATCTTGAAAAGAGCTGGTTTACCACTCCAACACAATTTTTGCTCATCTTGATAATAAAATATTTTACCACGCACACTTCGTAATGACAGTGGTTACTATTAACAATCCTTCGAAACAAAGGGCATTTTACGAGTTTTTATTTTATTTATTTTTTGTTCTTAAAGTTAGGTTCGTAGAGTTTCTGCTCTAATAATTGTTTCTTTTTCAGTAAATATTCCAAGAGAAATTCTTTATTGGGACTACGATGCAAGATGCAGGTACATAGAATGTGCAAAGAAAGGGACACAAACGATCCACAGGGCCCGTGCTATGATTGTTGGTTGTGCTGGTGCTGGAAAAACTACCCTGCTGAAACGACTACAGAAGCGATCGCTGGATGAATTACAACAGGTTCAATCTACAATAGGCCTAGAAGTTCACGAGGACATCTTTGAAATTTCGGAAGACAAATGTTTCTTAACAGGTATATTTCCCTAATTGTCTTAAAGTAAAAACTGGCCTGGGGGCCATAAAACTTAGATGAGCTCACTTTTGATCTCAGTCTCACTATTTTCAAAGGAATATATAGTGGAAAAGTGAGACTAAGATCAAAAGTGAGCTCGTCTCAGATTTATGACCCTCAGACCTGATCTTCATAAATAACTTCACCAAAAAAAACTGGATATTAAAATTGCACTCTTTTATGATATACAGGTATTTTAAATACATCTTATCAATCAATCTGAAGAACGAAAAAAAAAACATTTTAATTTGAAATTTGCATTTAAATAATTTATCACTGATTTCTTATCAATCTGATATTGAGTAATAGAAAAATAATTTACTTTTGATTACTAACGACTTAGATAACTGTTAAAACGTCGCAAAAAAAGAAAAAAAATATATAATTATTTTAACAAGTAAAAAAATTAAACCTCGTGCAATTGTGAACGGTTCTTTTTTAACAGGCATATGACTAAATGTGTACATAAATTGACGAACTCAATTGTTAACAATAATATCTTGGTAGAAAGTTAATGGCGTAATCGTAAATTAGCGCTACACAATTTGGTCTGGTATTTGTATATTTCAAACTTTTATTAATAGTGTTTATTACTTAGTGCAATACTGTCTGCGTCAAAGTGACTTAAATGTGAAGCTCGCTTATTTAAGTACACATACAGAATTATATTTATTTGATAATTTCGCAGTGGTATGTGTCTCATTTACCCTACGTCGATATGACGTCTTTAGAAACGATAATGAAATCTGCCTAAAATATATATTGCAAAAACATTTTTAGCTCACGATAAAAGAGCTCATCAAAATGATTTTTTCTATCTCTTTCTATGAAAACCTTCTCAAAGTAGGCAAGAACCATTCAACTTTGTCATAAAAATCTCTATATTATGCAAATTGAAGTTGTACAATCATTTCCACTTTCCCTTCCAATTTTGTGATTTTCGCCTTTATATGTATTAAATTTTACGATTAAAAAAATACATAACACAAAATTTACTTGCCTTTGCGTCATGATACAGTATTTTTGAGAGTTGAACTATGTTCAATCTCCGTTGGTCATAACGCATTTAACATGCGCAGTAATTTGTGTAAATAATATAGAGCTGAACGCGAGATTACTGTGTCTACCAAATTACTTTGATGATATTTAACAGAAAACATGCAAAAACATCCGCCACAAATAGTTCATGTCATTTTCACCTGAATTGATATCATTTTTATCATTTAAAATGTAAGTAAATGAAATGATAAAGTAATCTTATTTTGAATATTAAATTTCGTTCAAAGTAAAACAGAATTATAAAGAACCTCAAAAGTTTTTCGTAATGGAACTCATTTTTAGTATAGGGTCATCTATAAACACTGAAAAAGATACGAACGACACCTCTACAAACTGACAGCAAGCGTTAAATCTAGTCTTCCCGACGCCCGACTTCCGACGGTCGCAAACTTTGGATTTTTCTTTTTCATCAGTGCACAAAATCTATTAAAACTTTTCGTGAACAAAATCTTGGTTTATCATGTATAAAAACTTTAGGAAACATGCGTATTTATAACTAAACCAGCAGTATTACCCTCCAAAAGTGGTAAGTCCAGTACACTGTTCAAAATGTTAAAACCAAAAATGGACACTGATGCTCTCGTAAAATCGCAATTTAAAACAACAAAATGAAGTTTATTTTATAAAATAAAAGGAAAACCGTATTTACACACCGGATAATTTGTACGCACACAAACTATCACATATACGAGGGTTGATCCAAAAGTTCGTGGAATTTCTTCATATATTTTATTTATTTTTCAGTGGAATTGGTTGAAAATTACAAATGAAAATACAGACACTTAATATACATTTTAAATTAAAAAACATTTTAAATATCTTGGAAAGTAACTTTATGGCAGTTGCCATAGGAACGGTTGTTTGGAAATGCGTGGGAGACATTAACGCGTTTATTATCATTTTAATTCTAAATACGTGAAATAAGAATTCAACCGCCCTGTGTGGTATATAAAACGAAAATTATGTCATTATTACGATTGATTGATCTTTTATAAACCTTTGTGTAAGAGTTTTACTGATTTTACTGGATATTTAGTTTATTAGTTGATGATTTATTGTTCATCTTTAAGGTGTTAGATAACGTCAAATTTCGGTGAAGTCATAAGTTTTGTGAAAATCCCGGGATCACTCTATCTAAAACGCGTATATTTTTGACATAGGCTTGGGAAAAATGCAATTAGTTAATGGTTTTCCAGAAGCATAAGAAATTTAAGAAAAATAGAACTTCCATAGACGTTGATAAAAGGTGTGGTCGCTTTTTTAGAGGCTCTGTTTAAGTACGTGTCCCCCTAGACAAATTTAAAGCGTTAATGGACATTGTCGGCTGCCGTACTGTTCTTGACATTGCTACTGAAATTGGAACATCATATGGAAAGATGGGTAGTATCGGAAATATGAGTAAAAAATAAAAATATTTTGGAGCGAGAGGATACCCAGACTTTTCTTGAGAAAAAAAAAATATTTCTCTATTTTCTTTAGGCAGCATTTTGTTGAATTACGTATTATGATTGGACATTTGGGCGAGATGCTTCTATAATGTGACGTGACATATCTGACGACGTTACGTCGAAGTCTCCCCCGGGTTTCCCAACAATCCATTTTCAGAAAGCTCGTGTGACCTTATTGGTAATCGGAAAGTGGTGAAATTTTCCAATATAGTTGCATTATGACTCTATATTATGAATATGCCTGTTGATTGATTGCACCAAATCACGAAAAATTTTTAGAAAGAAATTCCACGAACTTTTGGATCAACCCTCGTACAACTGTTTTTATGTTTGTTCTTTAAATATTTGTTTTTAATTTGGTATTGCTTTTTTTCTTCACAAAATTCAAGAAAAAAGATAATACGTATTGACAAACTCTATGTATGATGTTGGCTTCGTGTAATTGAAATATATGTGTATATTCACAAAAAAAGTTTTATATATTAAAACTGTTAGATCTTGAAAATCCACATTTTTTAAACATTAATATTATTCAAGCGAAACTGAAATTTATATGACACATGGGTAAAGGTGCTAAGGAAAAGTATATTACAAGAGATGAACTTGAGGTATTGTGAGCAGTGAAATATATAAATGATCAACCGCCTCTAATATGAATAGAATGGCAGTGTCCATCTTTTGCAATGCGAAACCCAAAATATGTGTTGGATGACAAAGTACTGAACTTTTACGAGAAGCACTGACTTCGTCAGTTGAGGTTTACTTGGACATTTAAACTTGTATCATGTACGGAAACACAGAATTGATAATGCATGAGACCACCTTTCTTGTGGTCATAGGTATGGTGGCAGGGGTACTAACATGTGAAGACCGGGAACTGAGGGTAAGGCTGTTGTCGTTTTCTTCAAAGACAACTTGTGTGTGCATTGAAATAACCTGTTATTTCAGTTTATTTAAATATTGAGCTAAATATTTATATCGTAAAGGAGCTACCGTACATAGCCCTAGTGTAAAAGTAAGCGTCAAGTGTAAAAGTCAACGCGCCTCGTAAAAGTCCAATAAAAGGGGCACAAAGTCAATCTGTAATAATAATTCTATGAAAATTCCATTCAAAGTTGCGGATAAGAGATGGGTATACTTTAAGTGTAATAAACAGTTGGACGGATATCCCAATTAATAAATACCCTCCCGTTTTTGAAGCACGGTGTATAAAAAAAGTCTAGCATTATGGCTCATGCATATTTTTTTGCCATTCAATGTCACTGAATATCTTTCTAAAAATTGTTTAAACTAAAAAATATGAAACAGTTGTCTGTATTTGAAATAAATATATTGTTCACTAACTTAACCTCCCATAAAAAAAATTATTTTACATCATGTTTAACTCCCATGAGTAGGATTGCATTTTGAACTGTATAACGCGATATTATTTGAGAAGCATTGGCCTTTTTTGAAACACAATCCAATATTTAAAGAAAATTGCTTCATTCTTTAAAATATGTAAAATTGTGATAATTATCTGATGGTTTTAAAATTACTATTGATTTTAGCCGTGAAAGAAGAAACAGAAAAGGAAGGAAAACAACTGTTGAGTGTCATGGATTTTGGAGGACAGTGTGCCTACTACGCCTGTCATCAGGTGTATCTCAGCAGAAGAGCTTTCTATCTACTGGTGATAGATATGTCAAAGTCGTTTTATGAAAGGATTGACAGAAGATTTTGTGACCAGGAGGAAACTATGTTTGCAGATTGGACATATGGAGGTATTTTAAATATCTTGAGTTATTTTTTGTTTATCCCTATATTCGATGGATTTCACTCATTAAATTTTATTTCATATCAAACTGCTATGAAGTCAAAATGAGTTTTTCGTAGGAACGATTAAGTGAAATAAAATTTAATCCAGTGTAAAATATCAAGAGTGATGAATAAAACATGGAGTAAAAAGTATATCATTTTCATTAAAACCATGTTTTTCCCTGTCGATATTACTCGAGGAATAAAAACTCGTATGTTGTTGTAAAAACATTAAATCAAACAGAAAATTAAAGATTTTACATTTATAATTTAGTGACTATCGCTTTGCTGTTGTTGATCTGTTTGCCACCTGAACGTAGAAAAATTACAATTAACTGCAGTTCCCATCCTTTTTCTTTACAGATTTTGCACATACTGAAATAACATTTAGTATACAAATATTCAAAAAAAATATTAAGATACATGTTTTGTAATATTTTGCGTATACTAGAGCAATTCTTGGCTGATTTCTGCCCATAATTATTGGACGGATGACATGCGTGTTTCACTAAACCTCTCTTGGTAAAATATGAATGTTTTTGATGAAAACACTTGAACGACCCCGCAAACTGAATAACTTCTTGTAGCAATAAGATTTTCATAGATCCTTTATTACGTAAGATTTCACTATTTGACTGGTAACATAATTTAATTTTCGGTTTAAAATTTACGAAATATGAAAATTGTTGACACACATGATAAGATATTGCATTTCCTCCAATTTACGGTTTTAAGCTGGTACAATTTTTTTTTCTCAAGTTTGAACAAATATGCTTTTTTTAACAGAATATCTGTTGTTCTGGATGAAATCTGTCCATATGTACTGTGATGAAGCTGCACCTGTAATACTTGTTGGGACTCATCTTGACAAAACTACAGGACAGGTATACACGATTTAAATTGAATGGATTTAGGTATTTAATGTATAATAATGAAGGGGTTTCGAATGATTTCAGATAATTTTAAATCAGTTAAAATGCACTGCTAGATAACAATAAATAAATAGTGATATAAACCAAAGTCAAAAGACTGATAACGAAAGGAGACAGTCATTTTGCACGTTAAAGGTTTTTGAAGAGTTATCGGCCCTTTATGAAAAGAATTTTTTTTACAGAGTACCTTAGAATTTGTGCTGAAAATAATTTCTTTTATTTTAGAATCTAATTATCTAAATGATTTGTATGAAATTCAAATTACTTTTTGCAATATATGAGCAAAACAAGTGCTCCCCAACTAATAGACATCAATGAAAAATTTAAGGTGCGATTAATTGGACAATAATCAAAATGTTGTAATTTCCATTGGTGGTGCATATTTATTTGATAACGTCTTCAAAATGACTCCAGATTAAAAATATCAGATCATTCATTTAAAGGGTGCGAAATTTAGTCGTTATACATTGAATAGTTAAAAAGTAGATGTTATCACTGATAAAGAGTAAATTCTTATAGAAGTTATGTAAGTAGATGTAGATCTATAGATATAAGCATATAAATAGAACTTTTCTATTACAATTGTTTTTCAAAACACGTTTTGATTGGCTAGTGCACTGATGTCTGAAAAAGTAAAACGAGCATTAACGGGAATGAAAGCTTTTCATTGTGACGTTATAATAGAGCGACGCAAAAACACAATGCTCCGTAACGTTTGCTTCATGTCCAAAAAAAAACCCGTAAACAATAATCAGAATGCATTGATTGCATTAGATGGGAATAACTATCTTCTATTTTGGAATTTGCAACCGTCAATGCTGATTTAAAGGTCGAAAACATCCGTTTTACCGGTTTCACGACGCATCGCCGGTAAATATCAGTTTTTGCGACCATTAAATCAGGATAAGCGGTCGCAAATGCCAAATTAAAAGATAGTTATTCCCTAATTTTCTTCCTATTTTTAAAAAAATTGTTAGACATTCAGTTTTCTAAAAAAAAAAGTATAATATTCAAAAAAAAAATTATAAAGAAACTTACTTTGCACGCATATCAATTTTCTTTTGCTAACACTAATTTAAACAAAAAGCATATATGAATAATTCAATCACATTTGAAGAAGTGAGAAAATCTGAAAATTATATAGAAAGCCATTATTCTACTCTTAATCTTAGTTTTCTATGTTTAGACCACCAATTCATTCTACAATAGTATTATTAAGCATCTACGGTTTGATAAAAGCCTCAAGAAACACTTGGACAGAAAGAGATGCTTCCTTGTAGGATTTCAAAACAAAAATGACCCTTCTTTAGATGATCTTTCTGACCTGATGATCTGCATCGCTTCAATTGCAAAAGAGGATCGATGGAAGGAAACAATACCAGCTGACTGGGCGCTGGGTGAATCAACCCTCAGGTACCTCAGAGGACAAAACCGTCGAGTGATTTCAAAGGAAGATTTTCAAAAAGAATGTTTTGGTAAAATCTATGAAAAATATAAACAAGTTCCAGATATCTTAAAACTCTTCCATGAAATCGGAGTAATTTTGAATTTTAAAGACGACGTTCTTTCTGAAACTGTTATTATTGACATCCAGTGGTTTGTCGATGCATTCAAAAATATCATAACTGATTTGAACCATGTCATGGATGTTGTTGAAAACAATGATGATTGGCAAAATTTTTACCAAAATGGATATATGTCGGACTTGCTTTTGGAAGAAATATGGTCAACTAAAGGTTTCAAGGTTGGAACATTCAAATCCACGATCCTTCAATACATGCAGCGTCTTGGTTTGCTTGTTGTTGGTGATAACCAACACTACATACCATGCATAAATAAGTGTACCTTTGATGCCACCCATGAGGACAGTTTTAGAAGGTGGGAAAATAAGACCTCGGTGCTTGTTCTTAGATTTCAGTTTCTTCCATATTTCATTTTCTGTCGCCTTGTTGTCGCCTGTATAACAAGAACAGATGGAGAATGGGGATTTCTTAACGACCAAGGATTGCGTCTGTTTAAAGACGTTGCTTGCTTCGCTTACAAGGATCACAAAGTTGCTCTTGCTGTAAACCATTCATCGATACAGATCCAGGTTTTTAAACCTGGTAACTCAATTTTAGAAAAGAAAGTTACACTGGAGGTACTTAGTACCATAGAAAGGCTACTGAAAGAACTCTCAGGAACTTTTCATCAGGAGATAATGTACACTGTAGGATACCAGTGTTCCATGAACGAAGTATTTAGAGAATACGACGGGTGTTTTGTTGAGGAGACAGAAATTTACAGCAAGGGTCAAATAGATTGTCCTAGACATGCGTTGTTACATCATCATGTTCTCCGCGAATCAGATTTACTGTATCACTGGAAGCAGGTGAAAACTTTTTTTTATTATTATAACATACGTATTATTATTTCTTATCTAGGTAATGCTTATTATCTGCAAGATTAAAAAATGTTATCATACTAAATGTACTTTCTTTTTTTACATGTAACAGGACTGTAAAATTGAAAATCCAAGAAATCCAGGTTAGTTTCTTTTTTCATTATAAAAAAGATATTGGTATGATATAATTATGGCACGAAGTTACGTATGAATTACTAAATAATATCTTAATAACAGTGGCTGCTTTACGTCAAGACAATTTTATTGTCGCTTATGAAGAGGGACTGCGAAAATTCAATTTCAAGACATTTGAACAATTGACAAAGGTTGGACGAGATGCCCTTCAGATCTACTTTGATAAAGAATTCCCATTAAAGGACCTTGTCAGCATGTCATCGAGACAAGCGAAAGTGAAAAAAGCACTTCGTCTGAATGACGATCAATGTGCTAAATTATTTCCAGGTATATATTATCTTATTTGTAGACTGTTTCATGGAGTCATTCAAAGACATAGGTGATGTCTATAATTCATGGAATCCGGATAGGGCCACGCAGTTCACTATCCCATCATCGCACCATCGAGGTTTGAGTCGATGGTGCGATGACGCGATAATGCGATGACGATGAAGGGATGGTGCGATAACGATGAAGCGATTGTGCGATAGTGCGATGACGATGATGCGATGACGCGATAGTGCGATGACGATGATGCGATGGTACGAAAGCGATGCTGCAATGGTGCGATAGACACGATAAAGCATCGCATCATCACTATCGCGCCATCGCATCATCGCTATCGCACCATCGCAGCATCGCTATCGTGCTATCGCGTCATTGCATTATCGCCTCATCGTGCCATCGCATCATCGTCATCGCACTATCGCGCCATCGCATCATCGTCATCGCACTATCGCACCATCGCTTCATCGCTATCGCACCATCGCTTCATCGTCATCGCATTATCGCGTCATCGCACCATCGACTTAAACCTCGATGGTGCGATGATGCGATAGTGAACTGCGTGGCCCTATCCGGATTCCATAATAATTACATATGTATAAAATTTATGGATTGATTTTACATGTTTTATATGCAGATCCTATTCATTTTTGAGTTTAGCAGGAAACATCCTTCGGCAATCTTTTAAACTAGAAATGTACACGTGTTTTTGGTAGAAACATTGTTGAACATAAAATCCAGACACGTAGCACCCGAGGACGAGGGGGGTATCCCCGACATCTTTTCCCTTGAAATGTAACATTTCACAATTAAAAATGTTTCATGAATGCCGAATGCACACTTTTTTGTTGCTGTTAATTCATTAGGAAAGAAATATTTATAACATCCCTCTTCTTGTACAAAAAGGAATTAACTAGTTTGGAGACAGTTTTCATGTTTCTGCATTTTAAATGTTATCTTTGGGTAAGTTATTTCCCTTGTTTGCACCCCCTTTCATAAACAATCCTACATTCCTGATGAAAAAATCTTGTATATAAACAATATTCAGATACAGAATAATACCTTCAGGAACGAAGCAGAATAAAAAATAATTCTTTTCAACTTAATTAAGAACTCTAAAAAAGTGTGAGATTTAAAAGTTATTTATCTAAGAATTCTTTTTTTGCAAATATTTAGACCATTTGATTTCATATTTCGCTTTTAATTTCACAAAAAAATATTCAATGTTGCATCTTTCTAGTTACAGTTAGTAGAGGCGGCTTCAATTGAAATTTGATACATATCAAGAGAAATCTTCCTCTGTTTAGAAAATTAGAAATTAATATCCTTTAGGTCCATATACAAATAGTCTACATTCTGTTGTAGCTAATAAGTCCAATCCTTCCTCAGAAATGTTTGATGTGACGATGATGTACACGATGTTACGTAATCGTAATCCAAGTATACAGTCCCCGACTAAAGGTTGGGGAAAGACTCCGGAAACATCCGATACAAGATTGACAGATGACGTAGAAAGGATCCGGATTTACAGAAATGAAATTGGGCATGCAACGGAAGCAACAAGTAAATTAGAAAAGAAGGAACTAGAGAAGAAAGCAAGAGATCTCATGCAGGTATTATCATTTAGGATATACCATTATAATTTGTGGTTCATTCATGGTTTCCAAGGTTCTTATGCGTTGTTCGTGAATTTCATGTCAATCTTTGCTATACTATATTCATGAAATTTAACATGAGCACACAATATGTAAATTCCTTTGTTTCATAAGGTTTCTGCTACATCATATTTCATCAGCATTTTTTGCAATCACTGAAAACAACTTTAATTTTTCACATCAGGGACGTAGCGTAATGTGTTTCTAAAAAAAGCTTTCACTACACATTTCACACAGTCTGGCACAAAATGCTTAGTAAGTCTTTATCAATTGAAATTAATAATTCTTGCAGTAGCATTATGTTTTTCGTCAATTATTTTTTTTTATTTTTTACCGCCTATATGTGATTGCCCAAGATCAGAAACTGTGAATATGTTTGTTAAGGAAGTAACTCACCCTTCAATGAATACTTTAAAGAATTCTTACAGTCATTCGATTTCCACACACATAATTCTAGATTGTTACAGAGTCTCTATCATTCAAATTATGTCTTTCACCTTTAGTCAGATGTTAGGTTCCCTTTTGTCACAATTCCGATTTTCTCCAGCATGTCTGATTATATAGTTGTTTTATTTTTTTTTTATCTTGATCAGGTCTTTATTCATTTAGTTTTTGATCTTTTTAATTAGGTTCCGTAAGTTACAGTACATATATGACAAAGTTGGCGGTAAAATAGCATGGGTTCTTAAAATGATTTGATTTTATTGAATTTAACTATTTACGTACCTAGGCGATTCTGGGGTTGAGCAACGGAGTTCTGAAACAAAAAATGATGAATGTGTTGGAAGGAAGAACATAGCAAAGTGAGTAATCAACACAATCATTAAAAAAAATCAAAAAATTCTAATTCGATATTTATTGGGTATTAAACAATTCTATGAAAAGTATATTCACGAGGGTTGTCCGAAAAGTTCGTGTACAAGATAAAATCTTTATGAAGCTGTATCATTGATACTTCTTTTCTAAGTTTGTTTATAATCCGTTCCTAAATATGAATTACAAAATGTAACATTATTCATGTAAAATGTTATTCAATGTAAAAATTTTCAATTTCAAATCTATGATAACAATCATTCCTTCATGACAAGTCTTAAGATGGCGATCCGGAGCACCGCAAATTTCCATTAAAGATTAATTTTTTTACTACATGAATTTCATATATTTTAGGAATGACTCTAATTCTTCGCCAAATTATTCGATTATAACCTGTTTTGGGCCAGTTTACGCTTTATAATCTGCAAAGCGTAAACTGACCCAAACCAGTTTATTATCGAATAATTTGGCCAACAATTAGAGTTATTCCTTATAATTTAATTGTTAAATAATCAAACAAGTGTGGGTATAAAATTATGCTGCTTTTTATGAGTTCAAATTTGCCGCTCAATAATACATCCCTAGTAACGGAGGTGATGGTTAACGAGGGAGATAATAACTGATTCCCGGATCTAACAACCATGATGTTTGTTTACATGAGGTAAGATCGAGCTACCGTTTGAAGTTAAAGGTACATTTATTAAATCTGGAATTTTCCATAAATCCCAATAACTGGAAATGAGGGATTGCATGGATACAAATGATTCAGCTGGTTGTCAAGGGGATGTGCCCCCATACCAAACCAGGTTATTAAGAAATATTTTGCTTTCCTTTTTGGAAATAAACCAATCGTCTAGAATACAAGCAAAATTGAATTATATTATGTAAAATTCCACGGAAATTTTGTTGATTTTTGAGTTTGCCAAAAGTTATAAGATCTAAACTGCAAAATTCAAATTTCAAAATGGTTGAGAATTTGAGGTTAGAATGTAGTAGGACATGCTCGGTATAGTTTGAAAAAGGTGGAACAGAGAACATTTTATAATGGTTTACGTAGACGTCAGAAAATCACCATTCATTTAAAGATTCATAAATTCAAGATTGTTAGTGGCATATATTTTCAGACGGAATCGAATGTTTACAAAATGAGATGCATAAAGGAAGACCATCAATCCGAGAATGTAGTGCTGTAAAATTGAATTTCGTATTGCGACCTTGCCGGTCTTTCGTACATTAAGGTAGTTTTTTACGCGGACAGAGGTTTAATGATTTTCATGATCCGTGACAGAATGTTATAGATATTATTTAACGTATAAACTTAGATCAGTTTGTCAGATTTTTTATGACTGGTTAAGAGACATAGGGAATTATTGAGTTAGTCTGTGTAAAATTTATTCTGACTTTTGAAAAAGTAAAGGATTTTTGTTTTAATGCTCCTGGTACGAGCATGTGTTTTTCCTTTTATCTGATAAAAATATAACTATTTTTGTTGTGTTTTTATTAAAAGAAAATGCATATTTATAAAGTAAAGACTCAGATTAATGAAAATAATAGTGTCATATATTTTATTAATATTTGTCAGTAATTATCAACGTTGTCCACGAACTTTACGGACAACCCTCTTTTATCGCAATAATTAGTTTTTTTAATGTCAAACTTAAATAAATACAAAATACAATGCTATAAGAAATGTTTTGAAGGCTTACTCGGTTCAACTTTGATAATTCAAGGTCACATGGATGGCAGAATCTATGAAAAAAGTCATCTTGCAAGGAAAACAAGACCTGGCTACCAAGACTGAAGAAATGACTGACGTCAAAAAGAACTTGTGTGCACAATCAAAGTGATCTTTAACGATGTAATTCTGTTGATTATTAATCATCAGATAGGAAAACAAGGCAATTTAAATTTACGATATACATGTATGCTTTTGATAAATGATGTGAATTGTCATGGAAAACGATTTTTTTAAACGATGTCAATTTGAAATAGAAGTTAAGCATTTAAAAAATATATGATGTGTAAATATAATAATGACCAAAACACTGATACAATGTAAATGTAACTGTGAAATTTGCCTATTTTTCACTAAGAACATACTGACAACAAACCCAAATCAAATATGTTTATAGTCACAAACATGCTAAAAATTTCAATTTAATGTATACGGTATTGATCAAATATATATGATGTGAAGGAAAAGTGCAACATTATAATTTTTCACACTCTAGTAATTGTGCTTTATTCAATATATTTTTTGTCTTTTTTCAGTATGCCATATTTTGTGTTATTTGGATTTTAATCCAGACATATATATCAAATAAAAAAAACTTTTTTACCTCAAATATTTGCTGATAAATTCAGTAAAATATGCAAATTCGCTTTTTATTTTTTTTATGAAAATAGAAATGGAGGAATTTTTATTTTATTACATATTATGCTATTTAACAATGCAACGGGTATGGAGAAAATGTTTGAAGAAGTAAAGAATTGATTAAGAAAATTGATATTTTTCAAGATGAAGAAAAAAGACAAAAAAAACCTTATACATTTTTACTCCCAGTCTTTCTGTGGAATTGTGTACTATTTTTTTTCTCTTCTTGAAATCAATCTTTATAAAACTGTTAGTGGAAAGTTTAATATGGGTTTTTAAAATTCAGCTAGTCTGTAGTGGTACCAATGCCATTATTTTTCTTGTGGAAATTTCATCTAAAACTTTTTTTAGATATTTATTTGGTTAACTTACACAGAGAGGGATTAAATGGACTTTGTCGTCCATCGTACTCGAATTTTTCTCGACTTAACCAATCGCAACATCTGTCACAAGAAGAAAAAATCAAGCTAGACTATAGGAAAGTCAGCTTGGCGGACCCATTGAAAAAAAAAATTGCTTTTTTATCAGCTTAGAATTGAAACTTAAAACTGCCATGGAAATATTAAAGGAATACTTTTCCTCGAAAAAAAAATAAATTTAACCCCATGAAGTTAGAAACCTTTTCAATCTAGGGTTTGCAAAAAGCGGGAAAAAACTCATATTTTTCAGAACAGTTAGAAATACTGGGATTTCCCGGGAATTCGATAGGATATTTCCCGGGAAATACTGGGCAGCAATTAATAGCTACTTATCTATATATATAATCATCTTGCTTGTGTACAGACATGAAATAAACATTAATTTCTAAGACATTAAGGGCAGAAGAGACGTTCCTTAATAATAGATAAATTTTTCTAAGAGTTTGTCATTGAAGTAATGCTACTTAAACATGTTTATTCACAAAAAAATTGAGGTACCTTACCAGGCATTTCTGCAAGATACTAGAGGTAGTTTTTCTTATATAATCCTTTGGGGATGAAAAATAATTTTCTAATTTCAAATGTTTAGGTGTTTGGATTTGTTTGATACGTTTAGAAACGGGTTTCAAAATATGAATTTTATAAAAATTTGGAATATTTTTCAAACATTACGAAGATATTCAAAACAGATTTTGAGGAATGTCTCGTCTGACCTTAACTTTATACATGTATCACTGTTCACAAATAAACAAAGTTGATTTTCTGTTTTAAATAATTTTAAGTGGTATACTCATATATCAGTTCATAGAGGTATCCCTTTTGGGCTTTTTAATCTTACGGAGAGATGATGCAAACAAACCCATGCAAAAAAAAAAAAAAAAAAAAAATACAACTTGGACCATGTGTAAGGTCAGAAGAGAACGACAATAATGTAATTTTGATTCAATCGAAGCTTATTAATGGTTCTTCTTTCGCAAATATGAATAACATAAGTTTGTTAACGATATTTTTTTCTGTCACTGAAATGGTTATTTACAATTTTGCACCAAACAATATCGACATCAAAGTTGCAGTTCATATTGCTTTATCAATTGATTGGAATATTTGAATATTTGTTTAAATAAGGATTAAATTTATTATGTTTATGCTTTTTATAATTGATAAACTTCATAATTATCTTAAACTGAAAAGAAACTTGAATAAAACAGTGTTGTCCTTAAAATACAATAAGAGAACAGATGCTACAGGAAACATATGTTATGAAACCTGGAATAGTGATTTAAAAAGTATTTTTAATTGCAGACAATCAATTTAATTAATCATCAATTTTTGTGTTTATTCTTGTTCTGAACTCGTTTAAGATAAAATGAATTAAAAGAAATAAATTTTTGAATTCCAAGTATTTCTCATTTGGATACATTTTACAGTATTTACCGGGACTGGAAATTACCGTTAGTTACTACTAGTAATTTACACCATCCGTATTTCCCAGCCAATTGACAGTTAAATCATCAAATTGAAATATAAGCCTAAATAATTCAGGGTTGAAGATAGGAAATTAAGGCTCCTTCAATACGGAGCATGATTGTACAAGGCACAAGGTACGAGTATTAGGAGTTAAAACTTTGGAAGTCGTTTATCGTAGAGTGTCAAATTTTTCAGATAATCAAATTAAGCTCTATCTAAAGTAACAGAGAAAGGCAGAAGTAAAAACAGTATTTGCTTACTTAAAAGAAATGAAGAAATGTCAAAATGTAGAAATATTGGAAAAAGACCTAAGCCGAGAAACTGTCGAGCAAAATGAAAATAATGCTACAAACGCCACAAACCTCCAAAATTTCACATGATGGATGAGGGTCTCGCACATCTCCTTAAAAGTTACTGCGATACACAAAATTCAAAAAAAAAAATCCAAGCAAGTGAAAATGTACATTGCTAAATATATAGAGAGGTTGACGACGTTGACAATCTAAACAACTGAAGCAACTAACTTTCTTCTAGAAAAATATCAATATGAAAAAAAGATGCGATAAACCCTGTGGTGTCTATCACATTTTATTTCAAAATCAAAAGCAAATGGCGAAACAATAAAAGAAATATACTCTTGACTTGGAATATACATATACATGTAGATCACTGCATGTGTTTCATCAACAAAATAGACTAGATGCTGTCATGAGACAGTAATACCCGCACTAAGGTGTTTGCCTCTAAATACACGCTCCTACATATTGGGCGACTTTGCAAGGAAATAGTCAAAATAATTCTATAATTTACATGTATTAATCAAATTGATTATGAAATTCTCAGACCCTGTGACCTATAACTCAGAACGTCTTATATTTATTTTACACATGCTTAATTCATTATATACCAGTCTGAATTTTATTAATGATGTAAATTCATGCACAGATCTGTCGGGGGGGGGGGGTCAGGACCCCCCCCCCTGGAATTTACAAGGTTA